AAGAAAAATTAAAAGTACAGATAATTAACAAATGTTTATTCCTAATTAAGATTTGATATTACCACTTCTGACACTGAACATTATACCTTTTTGTTTAAATGGTAGGGGGTGCAGAATACTTTCCATTAAAGACATAAAATCCTCAATACATATAAGTGTTCTTTATCTAATTGAGCAATAAGGATTCTTTTACTAAGGAAAACAAAATGCATCAATGTGTATACATATTTTCACATAATTTTGTTCTTTATCCAACTAGTTAGCCAGGATAGGCAATATTTATCTAATGTCTCAGAGTTTTAGTGTCTACCTGTGAAAAACAGGTGGGCTATTTTTCAATGCTAAGATTCTATGAGCACTCTCCAGTGATCCTTGCAAAATGGTTGATTTTTAAAAGCCCCACAACTTGTTCTGATGATGCAAAGGAGGGATGACGAGCATGGACTGAGAGTAAGGGACCATAAGTAGCCACTGTCATTCAGCTACAAGGGAAATAATGAGGTATGCAACTCAGCCAGGCATCTAGCAAAGTGAAGTCCCAGTAAGCATTATTATATTTGGGGAACTCATATTTAAAGTAATTAATAGCTCTTCAACTCTTAGTGGCCAACTGACTTGAGAACGGTCATAAAAGTCCATTAAACTGACAGCCAAAGCTTCATATCTTTGGATAAGTCTATTACTTTTTAAGGCTCAATGTCCTTCTCCTGAAATAAGGACGCAACACTGACCTGAATCTTTGCCCAGGGTGATTGTGAGGATCAGACACAAAGTATGTGAAAACCACAGTGCACTAAATTATTTTTAAACTCATTTTTAAAATAAGGTTTTCTACTATCAAAACTACAGCCAATTACCCTTTCAAAATCCCAAAACAGTAAGTAATTTTTAAGTATCAGGTCTTTTTAAATTGGTGTTTTATAGATTTAGACATTAAAAATTTAGTATTACAGGCTTCTCTAATAGCTTCTCTAGGGTTACACTAATATGACCAAATAAGGAAAACATACATTTGAAAGCTGTTATGCAGTCAAGTGGCAGAATTCTAAATGGCTACGAACCATTTAGGAGGTTAAAATCTCTCCAAAATAAAGGTTGACATACATTGCACTGGGGACCACTTTTACCAATGCAGTTGTAGAGTTTTCCATGGCAGAATCCTCCTGAAAGATGCTCTAACCCTAAAACCTAGAAGGGGACTCTAAGCACAGAAAAGACATGAAGCCAGGGGTATGAACCATTAAGTCTTCAAAAGCTATTTGCATCTATGTAATATACATGTAATGCCCAGAGATGAGAGAAGAATTGATAGCATACAATAGACAAGCAGATACTTAGAGATTTAACTTCTCTAGGCTTCTACTTCCTCATCTATAAAATGGGAAAAAGAGTCTGTTCTGTGGGATAGACTGAAAAGGAGAGCACACATAAAGTGTTGCCTTGTACCTGGAGCACAGGAAGTACTCAACAAATCAAAGTTATCAGTACCAGGGAGAAGCAGCGTATTTCAATTATCTTTGTCCCTAAACTAAAAACCTTGCTCCTTAAAATAGTATTTGCACTAAGATCTCCTCCAAAACAATGTATCACAGAAGTACAGCTTAAGAGGGCATTCTATAAATAAGAGAGGAGTGTGTAGCAGGACACTGGGGAACAATAACACTTACTTATCCAGTTTCTGACATTGAGGAAACTTTGCTCGTTTGTCAGATCAAAAAGTAGAAGAAAACCCATAGCATCTCTGAAGAATGCTGTTGTTAAGCTACGAAACCTAGGAACATAAAAGCAGAATGGTAAGTTAAACCATCGCCCCACTCCTGAAATATAAAGCTACAAGCAATGCCTTCAGCCTCTTACAAAAGTTTACCAATGACAAGCTACATGGTGATATTTCAAAAGTGTAGAGGATAGTTATCACTTTTATCAGTTTAAGTGTTAACAGACCATGTGATTTGAAAACCCAGCCTGCTGGACAGGGATGACAAGAGCCAGCTTGTGATCTTAGTCTCAGCCAAGAATTTATTGTACAATTATGAGTTAATTTGGCCAAATGCAATAGTGTATGTTTTCCTTCTGTGAAAGCTTGACTTAACATTACAATGTGTTCCATGATCTTTTAATTTCAGAATATGCAGAGATCTCTTATCTCTGATTGCCCTTTGTTTGACTTGAAGGTAAGAATGTCTTGACTCAGACCCTATTCTGTCTTGGTACTCTGCCTTCCAAGGCTTTATCCTCCTTTCTTCTCCGTCTTCTCTCTCTCTCTCCCCACCCCCAATCCCACCCCACCACCAGTCAGTTTCCTCTGTCTTTGCCTATACGTAAAATCTGTAACTGACAGGCAGGCTCTAGGGAAGAAAATATTGGTATGAATTTGTCATCTAATCAGCAATATTAGGTTTTTCTCAAATACTTTTCATCAATGTTTTTATTTAAAACAGTTCTTGGCCAGGGGCCATGGCTCACGCCTATAATCCCAGCACTTTGGGAGGCCAAGGCGGGCGGATCCCTGAAGTCAGGAGTTCGAGACCAGCCTGACCAACGTGGAGAAACCCCGTCTCTACTAAAAATACAAAATTAGCTGGGTGTGGTGGTGCACACCTGTAATCCCAGCTACTCGGGAG